CATCCATCCATCCATCCATCCATCCATCATCCACCCATCCATCATCCACCCATCCATCCATCCATTTATGCATCCATCCATCCATCCATCATCCATCCATCCATCCATCCATCCATCCATCCATTTATGCATCCATCCATCCATCCATCCATTTATTTACTCATCCATCCATCCATCTATCCATCCATCCATCCATCCATTTATCCATCCATCCATCCATCCATCATCCATCCATCCATCCATCCATTTATTTACTCATCATCCATCCATTTATCCATCCATCCATCCATCCATCCATCCATCCATATATTTACTCATCATCCATCCATTTATCCATCCATCATCCACCCATCCATCCATCCATCCATCCATCCATCCATCCATCATCCATCCATCCATCCATCCATCCATCCATCCATCCATCCATCCATCCGTCCGTCCGTCCGTCCATCCATCCATCCATCCATCCATAGTGACAGCTCTTGCCTCCTCACTGGTTTTTAAGTGGCTCCTCCTGCTTCGTCTGATTGGCTGAATTCTTCGTCTCCCAGTCTCATTTTAAGGACTTTTGTTTTCCAGTTTTCTACAGAGGACCTCCCAGATGGCTTTTTGAAACAAACCATCTGGTCAGTGAAGTTCTTGAGGCTGGACATCCAACTTTCCAGAGTTTGAACTTTAAGGCAGTAGAAGTGTGCCAAACGTTCACTTCAGCTCTAAAGCCTTAATGCTGTTAGCCACAGATGCTCTAACCATAATGTGGAAATTAAATTAGCACTTTTTCTGTTTTAGTATAAAAAAAGAGTTTTGGAGCACCGACCTTAAATTAAAAAATAGAGAAATGATAACCTTCAGGTACAATACTGGGTTTATAACTAATTTCTGTGGATGGGCAAAAAAAGAAACTGCATGAATATTCCAGCTCACATTTCAGGATTAATTAGAACTGCCCAAGCTTCTAGTCCATTTCAGGCTGTCGACCTTGAGGGGAGAGTCACAGCCTGAACTTATGATTTAATGAAAACCCAAGAGAGGGACAAGAAAGAGAGCGGGGAGAAGAAAAGCAAAACGGCAGGTGTTGGCTCTGACTAGTCACTGACAGATGAGAAGATGGATAAAATTATACACAGAAGCATTCGGACACACATTCCTGCACCTCGGATCAGTGCCTCGTTCTCCGCTGCAGCAATGTCAATCAGGGAGAAAATGAAATCTTTGTGACTCAAATTGAATTTGCACTGATGAAGGTCATTTCATTGAGCAAGACGAGCCGACTAATTCACGAAATGAGGATTGATTGGGATTGTTCCCTGGGTTATTTCTCCTTCTTTGGTTTCTTATCTCCCTGTCTGATTTGACCTAACTGTATTTCCAAAGTCTCTGGCATCAAGTGATGTGAAATAATCACTCAAGGTCTGTTGAGGAGAGGAGGCTGGCATCATWTCAACAATTATTAATGTGTGAAAAGTTTTTTCTGAAAAACAAACTGAGCCTCAAACAAACAGTAAAACTATAAATGCGATCAAAGTACCCAAAAACTGTAAGTGTCAGATGCACAGTTTCATGTTTTTACAGGGTTTTGTACAGAAGATATGACCATTTGTTTTCATTTAATCAGCTTATTGTTTGAAATCTAGAAGCAGCTTCACTTTGTTTTCTGTAAAAATGCTCAGTTTCCATTTAAAACTTTATTATTTTTACCTTTTTTTTATTCCRCTCTCCGAGGAGTAAGACGCTTCTTCCTTCTCTTCTACTCTTCCTTATTTTTCCCTGCTTTGCTGCTGGAGCCTTCTCTACATTTTTCATCCAAAATAAGAAATCATGGATATTTTTATTATTTTGATGGATTTGGTTAGCTGGTCTCTCAATAAAACTTTTGGAAYAAAGTTTTTTCTTCTTCCATGGGAGAACATGTTAAAGGTGGGACCTCTGTTCTTCTCTTTTCTGGTTATATATCTGGACTTTGATCACTGGATTCTACAGATTGGCTGGGTGGTCTCCTGGTGGTCTACAAATCAGCATTGGTAGCTGTTCATCTCCTGGCTGACTGACCAACTCAATGGATGGCCGTATTCTATCAGAACTCAGACATTGTGCCTTGAGTGAGCTGGACTCGGTCTGCAAGCGGTTCTACTGAGGGTCAGCTGTGGTCCCTGGACTTTGCTGGCCAGATGGAATTGATCTTGGAGGAAGCTGATAGATTCGGGCTCGGTGGAATTTTGTCCACACCATTTGTCTGATTGGGATCGCCACCTTGAGATGTACCAGCAGAAACTCTAAAGCAGATGGAAAATTGTGTCGTCTGCTTGTCTTTTCTG